ACTTGTGCACATTATTCTACTTACTATGCCATTCATTATCAGCCACACCCTCTTTGGTGGATTTTTTTACGATCAATCTGGCTGTGCTTTGGCCCGCCACAATCACAAATCTAAACTTCCTTTCTGGCAATCTCGTCTACAGCAGCGGCCATCAGTGTGCAGAGATGACTGCCAAATAGTTACCTCCAGTGATTTTTCCAATTCCAGGCTTGACCATTCAATCTTAAATATCACTACTCAGAAAACTAATAGGCATCTCAAAATTAGCATCTGAAGTAGAACCACCAAGTGATCATATAGTGCACTGCAAACTGAAAACTTGTATCTGACACACCACCACTAATACTGTCAGTGGTAGAAAAGACTAACATTTCTCTAAGAATTTCCCATTACCTTAAAGTAAGATCCTGCTTCTTGGATGAACTTGTAATTCCTTTCCTGAGGCACTGTTCTTTTCCCCCAAATTCAATGCAACTCAACACTGTCCCAATTATTCTGGCTGCCATTCTTTTTCTTTTCTGTGTCTGTCTGGGCGGTGGGGAGCAGTGGAAGGTCTTTCATCACTATTCAGGGGGCCCACGCCGATTCCCAGCAATACTTAGGCAGTTGGTTCAATACCAGAGTTGCAAGTCATAGGCCACTGACCCCCTGTGGTATTTCATGAATGAACTTGCCAGTGTGACCTTAGGTAATGACTTATTCTCTCTGGGCCAAGTAACCTCATCTATAGAGTGAGGCACAATGGTACTCAACTCATAGTGTTAATAAGGCATAACATGCCACACTCAGATGTGATGCAGATAAGAGTTTCATTGTCCTAAGGAACAAACCAGAAATGGATAGTGATGATCACCTACATTTGCCAAACAAGTCAATAAAGAAGACACAGCTTGTACAATTTTTTTGTTTGGGGGGGGCACACCCATTGGTGCTCAGGGGTCACTTCTGATTTTGCATTCCGGGGCCATTTCTGGTGGTGGTCAGAGGAACATATGCAGTGCCAGGGATAGATCCTTGTATGCAAGCCAATCACCTTATCCCCAGCACTATCTCTCTGGCCCATGGCTTGTGTTTTTAATAATCTTTTTACCTACTTTCATTACATAGTGCACAAATATTTGAGTATCAGAATTATTTGGTTGTGTATTTGTTACAGAGTTCAAACTTCGGGGCCAGACAGTAAAATGGGTAAGGCACTTGTCTTGCATGTGTCCAACCCTGATTTGATCCCCAGCACATTTGATCTCCCAAGCAATGGCAAAAGTCCCAAATAGAGTCAAGTGTGGCCCAATCTCCCAAGCCACCTCCTGCTCCCCACTCCCCCAATAAAAACAAAAACAACAATAATAACAACAAAGTTCAAAGTTCATTGCTGTAAGTGAGCTAGTCTTTACATGGTCATGTCTGATTAAGATTTAGGAACAGAAACCTGAAAGCTGCCCAAATCAGTACCAACGGCCCCGCAATTCCCCTTTGGCATACCTGGATTTTCAGAAACTTTTCTTAAAAGTTTAAAAGTAATAAATGGATCTCATTTCCCTAACCCTGAATATGCAGAGTCGAGAAGGATATGGAAGGAGAGGCTGATAAAACACCAAGGCAGACATAGGCTGCCAAAACGCAGAAAAACAAAAATGATTGTCTGTACTTTTAATGCTCGTACGCTGGCATCTGCTGCATCCATTGAAGACCTTATGGTACAAGTGCGAAAGATCAAGTACGACATCATTGGTCTGACCGAAACGAGAAGACATCAATCCCATCATGCTGTTTTTGACACTGGAGAAGAACTGTTCCTTGGAACATGTGATAAAAGAGGCGTCGGTGGTGTCGGTATCCTTGTCAACACAAACTTAGTCACGAGCATTGATTGATTCGAATGCCTAACAACCCGAATCGGACAATTACACTTGAATAAATGTGGCTCACTACCGGCAGTTTCTATCTTTGTTGTCTATGCACCAATATCCAGTTATGATGAAAGAGAAACTGAGAAATTCTACATGGAGCTAGAGAAGTTCTATAAAGAAGATCACACCTTCTACAAGATCATTGTCGGTGATTTTAATGCCAAGATAGGACCAAGAAGATCAGTCGATGAACTCCACATCGGAACCCATGGCCTGGAATGGAACGAACAGGGTGACAGACTGTCTGAGTTCTTCATGTCAACCAAAACCTTCCATGGTAACTCACAATTCCAAAAGGCTGAATGTAAACGTTGGACATGGGAGTCTCCCGATGGACGGTTCCACAATGAAATAGACCACATCATATTCAATCGGCGGTTTTGCCTAACCGATGTTGCTGTTGTCCCAAAATTCCAAACGGGATCAGACCACCGTCTTCTTCGTGCAAAATTCTACCTCACAGAACGAGGAGAAAAGAATGCAAGGTTTAAGAAGAGGACTCCCAGAACAACCACCAACTGGGAGCTCTTTGGCTCTATTGCGGCAACATGGAAAGATGCCATCATTGACAACATTGATGAGGAATACGATCGAATGATTCAGCACCTCCATGATTGTGCAAGGAATGCCAAGAGAGAGATAACCACAAAAAACTGTCTTTCTTCGAACACTCTTGAACTTATTCGCCAACATGGCTTGGCACATGCCTCAGGCAACCACAAGCGAACATCTGAACTGGCAAAACAGTGCAGAGAAGCCATCAAGGATGACCTCAAAAATAGGAGAGCAGCAGTACTGGTAGATGCAGCAGAAGCTGGGAAAAACACTTGTAATGCCCACCTGTCCTTCACCAACTACAAAACCAAGATGACTGCCCTCCGACATCATGATGGATCTATCACATCTTCCAGAAGGGCAATGGAGAAGATTATTCATGACTTCTACTCAGATCTCTTTAATAGCCACATCCACTTGCCCACATACCACATACCACATGATGGATATGTCGTTCCCAATGTTCTCCCTTCCGAAATCCAACATGCCATCTCGTCGGTAAAGAAACAAAGAGCACCTGGCCCAGACAAGATCAGACCTGAACACCTGAAGAACTTACCATCAGTACTCATCAGTACATTGGCTCGACTCTTCACACGCTACCTGTCTGAATGCAAGGTTCCATCCCAATGGAAAACCAGCAGGACTGTACTACTATACAAGAAAGGAGACATCCACGACATTGGCAACTATCGCCCAATCTGCCTATTGTCTGTCATCTACAAACTATTCACTCGAGTCATCCTGAATAGGATTAGCAGAACACTAGATGAAGGACAACCATGTGAACAAGCTGGATTCCGAAAAGGATTCAGTACCATCGACCATATCCACACAATAACCAAGCTCATTGAGGTATCTCGGGAGTTCAAGATGCCGCTCTGTCTAACGTTCATTGATTTAAAGAAGGCCTTTGATTCTGTTGAGATGGAAGCGGTCATGGAAGCCCTAGCCAATCAGGGCGTACAAACTCAATACATCAGGATCCTTCGTGAGCTCTATTGCGGATTCACTACCAAGATCTCACCATTCTACAAAGAAGTAATCATCCATATCAAGAGAGGGGTTCGGCAGGGTGATACCATTTCACCAAAACTCTTCAGTGCCACCCTCGAGAACATCATGCGACAACTGGAATGGGAAAACATGGGAGTGAAGATAGATGGTCGGCAACTACACCACCTCCGCTTTGCTGATGACATCGTTCTAATAACACCAAACATCAGCCAAGCGGCACAAATGCTGTACGACTTTGACCGTGAATGTGGAAAGATCGGACTACAGCTGAATCTTACGAAGACAATGTTTATGAGAAACAGCCTTGTTCCTGACGCTCCATTCGCTCTCAACGGAACCACCATCTCCGAATGCAACAGTTATATATACCTAGGTCGAGAAATCAACATGATGAATGACCTGGCACCTGAGTTGCGCAGGAGGAAGAGAGCGGCTTGGAATGCCTTCAAGAGCATTGAAGAAATAACTAAAAGGACAAAGAACCTCCAGCTACGAGCACATCTCTTTGATTCCACTATTCTTCCTGCATTAACATATGCCTCAGAGACCTGGACCCTACGAAAACAGGATGAGAACGCTATTCGGGTCTCTCAAAGAGGAATCGAAAGAACTATGCTTGGAATAACACGATTCACTCAAATGAGAGATAGAATCCGGAGTTCTGATCTTCGTCAACGCTCAAGAATCAGGGATGCTGTCTCATTTGCCAAGACATCAAAGATCAGATGGGCTGGACACATAATGAGGTTTACAGACAACCGCTGGACTAGAGCCATTACTGATTGGATTCCACGGGACATCAAAAGATCACGTGGACGCCCACCTATAAGATGGTCAGACTTCTTCATCAAGACCCTGAATGATCGGTTTGAGGCTCTGCATGTTCCTAGAACGAACAGATACCATTGGGCTACGCTAGCACGCAACCGGGATGAATGGAGACGTTACTGGCACCCGCTCGAATAAATCGATGAATAACGGGGATTAAGTGATTAAGTGATTTCTTAAAAGATGCACTTAACTTCAAATGTATAGGAGTTAGATCATTTTCATGTTTAAGGAATTTACGCAGAAATTTTCGTTAAAGTTCCTAAATTTGTGATCGGTACTCACTTGCCATGCCTAGTAAGGTGACTTCTTAAACCAACACATACACACTCCTTTTTCTATTCACAAGGTTTGAACAGAAGTCAGATCATAGTTAATCTGGTCGACTGTCTGGCTGCTGAGTGGCCTAAGCTTCAGAAGTTCCTTCATCTGTAAAATGGGGAAAGAAATTACTACACAAGAAGGGATTTTTATAAGAGGTAACTGACCACCCCAAGTAAGCTGTTTTTGCATGAGTGATACTTGGTTCTCAAATTGGAACATCAGTTTGCTAATTTTGAACATTGACACTATGCTAGAGAATCCAGATCATGCTAGTGTTTCTGAGGCATCCCGGACAAAACATACTAAATGGATAAAAATGTCTTCATATTTTGGATTAAATTAAGGGAGTCAGTTTCTTAGAAATGATTCACATAAATATTAAATGTGCCATTTAATAGTTCAGAAAAAAATAATTCAAGGTCAAACTTACCAACTTTACAATAAACACCAATTTGTATTTTAAAACATAATTAGTCATACATTATCTATTTACAAATAACTTAAACACTGCCCCCAAACCAAGTTTTGACTGGTCCCCAAAACTACCAAATCCACCGCAGTCTTCACTAGTGAGTTTTTCTCTGCTCTGCCGGAAAGCAATAAGCTCAATCAGCAAGTAGTCACTCTTCAACATTTAATGGTGCCACAGGGTTAAACATTGGTCTTCCTTTTTTAGCTTGAATTTTACCAAAGTTAGCCTCAAACTCTTTTTTTGTTCCATTTAAATTTGCTAGATGTCCATCCTTTATTTTGTAACCTAATGAATTCAATTTTCTTATCCTATATTGTACTATCTGTGGTGTTAATTCAAGAACCATTGGCATCTCTCTTAGCTGAGCTATAGAAACTCCCTCTTTCAATAATCCCTGAATTCTCTCTTCCAAAACTTCAACAGAATAATATAAAAGAGCAGGACACTTTAAAATTAATTCCTTCAGGTCATGATCTGTGCAATTAAAAGCATTTTTAGAGAAGGAAATACTGCTTTCTATACTTCTTGGGCAAAGTTGAAAAAGAAATCCTTTGAGTTTAGATAGAAGTTGGAGAATTTCCAGGTTGGTGAAACCTTGTTCCCGGAGAAAGTCAAGGGTCTCTCTTATAGCTGGAGATGAATTTAAGAAAATAAAAGGGTTTTGGCTTAATAATTTTAGTAGCCAAACTTTCATATTAGCCTCAGAGCCACCTAAATTTAGGTAACTTTCTTGGAGAATCTTTATAATATCCTTATTCTTCTCAACAGGATTATGAAAAATGTTAGGTGCAGTTGTCAAAAATCTGCTAATGACCACATTTTTGAGTCCCAGGTTTTGAAAGAACTCAATGTTTAGCTTTCGTCTTTCTGGGTCTTTAACAGTAAAAAAAGATTCTGGAAACTGTTCTATTAACTTGATTAACTCTTCTTTGTTTTTACAGACCAACTGCCAGAGTTCTTTCTGGGTGCGGACAGCCGTTGGGCTACAGACGATTGCTTCTGGGCAGCGTTCCAAAATACTGGCCACAGCAGTCTCATCAGCACCCAGTTGTTTTAAAATATCTGCTATTTCATCAACATAGGTTTCATCCTCCCAAAGTACCCATCCTTTCAGTCTGCGGATTTTCCTAATGTCAACGGAAAATTTGTAGAGTTTTTCCACCGTTCTTTTGTTTTCTTTGTCTGACTGTCTATCAGTTGTATAGGGGAGGCAGTCTAATAAAGGTCTGTAAGTTGGAGGTGATAACATCTTTCTGACAGAACATAGCCTGTAGGGCTGGGATCTCATTATTAACTTCCAGAACATGCTTTTATAATCCACTGGCTAAATTCCACTGTCCTGGATCTCCTGAGTGTCTACATCATACCTGCAAGAAAGAAAGTACATGCTTTAATCTAAAAGGAAATAACGTTTAGAATTCAAATACTAGGCCAGAGAGTTGGCACAGAGGCTAAGGCCTTACATGTAGCTGGCCTTTCTTTGATCTCTAAAACTATATATGGCTCACCAAGCACCCCAGGGTTACTCCTATATCCCTGAGCAGCACAAGATATGGCCCAAGAATCAAAGAAGAAAAAAATAATATAAAAACACTAACTTTTAGTTCCTGAGGGTGTTCTTGAATGCCCTGGTTCTGTCACAAGAATATAGAATGGAGCTAATTTTCAGTTTGCTAGCAGCTCTTTTTATTTATAGGTTTGAAAGAAAGCTTCAGAAAAGCATTTTCAGTCCCTGCCTTTAATAATGGCATTGTTCTATATGCCAACAACTCTTCATTTTCAAGACTGTCCTAACCAATCTGAATAGGTCATTATTTTCTAAGAAAAACTGACAAGTGGTAATGTTCTTATCTTGGTTAACAATTTGCAGTAACAGGTCAGTGCTACCACATTCAAAGTAATTGAAGACATGGGAGTATGTTTTACTTCTACTGGCTTCAACCGGAGTTTCAGATAATTCCTACAAGCCAAGATATAAATACTAAAGTTACTTTACACATTTCTAAGATGATTATGGCATTTAATGAGAAGAACGTACAGAAGCACTAAAAAAGGCATGGACAAACCAGGCTGGAGTCCTGTACCCATCTCTTCATGGGATCCCACAAACTCAAGCCGTACATCTATACATGCAAGGGAAGGGAGGGCTCCTGATGTTAACTTACAGGGTCATCCAGGGAAAGTTATTTACCCTCAGGTTAAATAAGCAATGATCAGAACAGTACCTTGATAGTGCTTATGATTTTTTAATATATAAAGGGCATCTCTGTATATGAAAGTTAAGTTTTAACTCAACCTATACAGAGAAAATTGCAAAGACTTACAATTTTCCTTAATAATCACTTAAGCCAGGGCCAGAGAGATAGTACAGTGGGCAGGGCAGGGCAGGGCACCAGGGCAGTAGCTGACCAGGGTTTATTTCCAGATATCCCATCTGGTTCTCTTGAGTACTGCCAACAGTGATCCTTAGGCACAGAGCCAGGAGCAAGCCTTGAGCACTATCAGGCGTGGCCCCAAAACAAACAAAACCAAACCTTCAATGCATAAATAAAATTTCTTATGCTGGCGCCCTACTGGATAGTCAAATAATCTCCCATAAACCCAGTTTGGTCAGGGAGTCATCTGGGGTTGGAACAGTGTTTGACTAAGCACCAGATGAGTAGTTGCATTAGCATGGGGCTACCTTAAACAAAGTGACAGATCACTAAATGATAGAACCACACTGGCCATGGCAAGACGCTCCTGTCCAGTGAAGCTCAGGGAAAAGCAAGCCATTTTCTGTTCACTCCTGGGAGAACTGTCATGTTCAGAATTGCTCAACTGTATTCTCTAAATACAGAATACAGAGCTGTCTCCCTGGGTCCCGGTCCTATTATTTTCTATAATATGCTGAATATCTGGCCATGCATCATATTCCTTTTTCTAGGATAAATTCCTCAGAGTAGGCTTACTGAAGAGATATGGAAAGCCAATTGTTTATTATTATTTGAAAAATGAGCATTGCTGATTTTCGCAAAGTACTATTAATCTCTTACCAGCTTCAATTTGGATATGGATAAAGCAAATATAATAATAATTTCACTTTTTTTCTTGAGGGCCACCCCTCACAGTGCTCAGGGACTCTATGTGGTGCCAGGTTTTCAAATCAGGATTTTTTTTTTTTGGCTTTTTGGGTCACACTCAGCGATACTCAGGTTACTCCTGGGTCTGCACTCAGGAATCACTCTTGGCAGTGCTCAGGGGACCATATGGGATGCTGGGGATCCAACCTGGGTCTGTTGGGCAAACAGGGCAAACAGGGCAAACACCCTACCCTCTGTGCTATTGCTTTGGCCCCCAAATCGGGATTCTTTTCTTACTAGTATAGCAGAGCTGTGTTTAGTACATTATTTTGTTTTTGCTTTGGGGCCACACCCACTCTGCTCAAGGTTTATTCCTGGCTCTGCACTTAGGGATTATTCCTGTTGATGCTCAAGATACAATATGGGATGCCTAGGATCACACCCATGTTGGCCATGTGCAAGGCAAGTGCCCTACCCGCAATACTATAGTACCAGCCTCACTATGAGTAGTTTTAATTCCTCTCTCTTTTTTTACATCTATAATTTCAGCACAGCTCTCTACTTTCTCTGTAAAATGCACATTTGACTTTCAGGACTTCCCACTTTCCTAGTTCCTCTGAGAGATTGTCTTTAAAGGTGGGTTCTCAACTTTTTCTTACCTTCCAGAGAGCCTGAAGTCCTCATCCAGGATGCCAGTTAATACAGATGGACTTCACTCCAGCTGCTTTTCAAAATGTCTTATTGCCTCCCTGCAATAAACTTTTTAGTGGTACTTTAGAAAAATGACATAGAAATGAGCATAGAAAGTAAAAATGCCTTTCTATGCTCCACAAAGGCCTCTCTGCACTCTGTCCTGTCTCCCTCTTTCATAACTGCTTCCTTTCAGACCTGGGCATCTACATTTCCCCACCAACTCTATCTAAGTGTTCTGTTCTCAGGAAAATTTCCCTCTCCCTTATGAATAGGTAGTCTCCGGTTCCCATCACAGGCTTTCATGGTACCATAGCGGCAGCTGTTCACATGTTCTTTCTGTCTCGGCCCTCAACGCCATTCCCATGGTCCCCTAGGCTGGCAGTACTGAACAGGAGGCATTCCTGGGCAGGCTAGCTTTGTGCATGCTCTTTCCAAGGCACCCAGTTCTTGACCCTAATGTAGCACCTACAACACAGAGTTCTTCACTCATTGTGTACCATTGGGTTGGGTTTGGTATTTAGTTCAAGTGTGCTCGGCACTGTGCTAGACATTAGTTCTTCTAACAACATTTTTCAGAACTTTGGATTTAAGGACCTTCAGAGAACCTAAAGGCAGCTAGAAATTGCAACCTGGATCTGAGGGTGAAGGAAGATCTGTACTCACTCCATCTCGCCCAAGATTTCTGCAGTGGGGCCCGTTGCACGAGGCTGACCCAGGTTCTATCCACAGCATCCCATATGGTCTTCTGAGTACTGCCAGAAGTTAATTTCTCAGTACGGATCCAGGAATAACCCCTGAGCATTGCCAGTGTGACTCCCCCACCCACCCCCCAAAAAAAAAGAAAAAAAAAGAAGAAAGATTTCTGCAGGATTCATAGGCACACAGTACCTCATCAATGGAGGACAGGCTCTAAGAGCTGTTCTGTTTGGACATTTTATATCTCTTTTTATAGTTTATTCTATGGACTGATCTAAGAATTTGCTACTGAATAGATTTTCTAAATGGCCTCAAATTGCTTAAGATTTGTAAACCAAATGTATTTACATTGATGGATGGTTATAAAGTTCTTGACTATTAAAGGTGCTATCACTGTCACTGTCACTGTCCTCCCATTGTTCATCGATTTGCTCGAGCGGGCCCAGTAACATCTCCATTGTGACAATTGTTACTGTGTTTGGCATATCTAATACATCACAGGTAGCTTGCCAGGCTCTGCCATGTGGGCGAGATACTCTCGGTAGCTTGCCGGGCTCTCCGAGAGGGGCGGAGGAATCGAACTCGGGTTGGCCATGTTGGCTGCGTGCAAGGCAAACACCCTACCCACTGTGCTATCGCTCCAGCCCAAAGGTGCTATATAACTGCAAAATAATCATTTGAAAGTCAAATGCCTCTGCCAAACTTTATACTACAATAAAAAAAAAACCCCAAATTGATCCACAATATTTTGAGATCCAGCAAAGAACTTGTTTCATAGAATAAAATCAGTATTTGCCAACTGAAATGAAATAAACATCCCAACTTCTGTTCTGGTCTGTTTTTTGTTGTTACACCCAGCACTTTTCAGGGGTTACTCCTGGCTCTAAGCTCAGGAATTACTCCTGGTGGGCTGTGGGGACAATACAGGGTTCTGGGAATCCAACCCAGGTCAGCTGCCTGCAAGGCAAGAGCCCTACCAGCTGTACAATTGCTTCGGGCCCCCAACACACCAACTTCTGAGGCCACTTAATGCAGTGAGTAGAATTCAGGGATCTCAGCTGTGTTGTAACTGTGGAGAAGCATTTTACATTTATGTGCTTCAGTCTGAGGGTTAGGAAAGTGGGAACACTATCCTGGGTGGCTGGGAAGAGGCAATGAATCACTGCCATGACCTGCAGAGTAAGTAGAAAACTCTCCATTCACACGAACTCATTAAATCACCACCACAGCCCATCTGAAAGCTGAGGAAACATGGCTGGCACCCGAGAGACCCAGGTCTGATGTTCCAGCACCACACGAATCTCCCACCGATCAGCAGCACCACCATTAAATAACCCCGAGACACCTCGGGGTGTGCTTCTGCTGCCCCCCTGCTTCCAAAGTGAAGAGAACGATGCAGGAAGAGTAAAAGGGCAAGACCTTGGACTCAAACCTAACAGCTGGCTCCAGAGTTCAGCTCCGAGCTCTGCACCAAGAAATGCACTTGGGGAGTATCTGTTAAGTCTCCATGTGGCCTATTTCATACTTCACGTTAAAAAGCATTTTCTGAGACCCCCAAATCCACTTCTTCAATATGAGCAATTCTTCTTATTTATTTTTGTTTTTAATGAATCACCATGAGATAGTTATGAACTAACAAAACTTTCGTGATTACGTTTCTGTCATACAATGATCGAGTACCCATCCCTCCACCAGTGCCCATTCTCTACCACCAATGTTCCCAGTATCCCTCCCCATCTCCCCCCCGCCCCCCACCCGCAGGCACATTTCCTTTTACTCTGTCCTTTTGGGTGTTATGGTTTGCAATACAGGTAGTAAGTGGCCATCATATTTGGTCCATTGTCTACTTTCAGCACGCATCTCCCATCCCCAGCGAGCCCTCCAAGCATCATTCAACTTAGTGGTCCCTTCTCTATCCCAGCTGCCTCCTTCCCCCCTCCCCCCCCCCCCCCCCCATGAGGCCGACTTCCAAGCCATGGTGCGATCATGAGCAATTCTTATTTTGAATACAACACCGGGTATCTTAATTATGCTTTTTTAAATAACATATACCATCTACTGACAGTTTCGTGTTTGCCCCCATGTGTATAAAGATAGGGAGGACCCTAGAGATGATCTCGGGGAGCGCTATTAAAAAAAAAAAAAGCCAGGGACCGATCACGTGGGGCCTGCTCTTCCCCAGAGAAACTTTCGATGCAACCTGAGCCCGTGATCGGCCCGGCCCAGTGCTAGCAGGCCGGCTGGCAGGCCGGCCGGGCACTGCAGAGCCAAGGGCGGAGGTTGGGGGGGAGGGGGTTCTCTGACCCTGCGGTCAGTCCCGAGACGTGGTCGACACTCACCTGTGGTCGTCAGTCCTGTGCCGGGCACGCCGAGTCCTGGACACCACTCTCAGTCCTTCCTCCTGCCCTAGAGGCGCCGGGCTCGGAGCTGCCCGTGAACTTGGCCCCGCGAGGGAGGCCGGCCGGGCCGCCCGCCCTCTGCCCGCAGCCAATCCGGGCTGGGATGCGTGAGCTCGCCCACCTCGGGCAGCACCGACGCAGCCAATGAGGACACCAATCCGCGGTCTGGGCTTTGCGTGGTGCGTGCGGGGGGCGGGGCGGGGCGTGGGAACCCGCCGGCTGCGCGTCTTTCCCCCGTTTCCACCCTTTCCGTCCCAGCATGTCGTTTTAGTTCTCGTTCTTTGTGGGGGAACCCCACACCCCTTAAGAGCAAAGACGAGAGGGATGGAGGAAGACCGAGAGCGCAAAGGGCACGTATCCCACCCAGAGGCTGCTCCTTCGGCACTGCACGGCCCCCCTAACCGCCAGGAGTGACCCCCGGAAAGAGAGCGGTCCCCCCACCCTGTAACAACATGTTAGTGATCTCCTATCCAGGGGCTTAGTAGCCCCAAGGTAAGATAACAATTTGCACACATTTTCCTCTAAGGAAACCTTCTGGGATCATTTTTAGTTGATTATTCGTAACAGGCAAGACAAAATAAATTTATTTAGCATCTGCCTTTGGGGGCAGGCTTGGGGGCGGGTGGGAAAATTCGAAATAATGGTGGTAGGAAGGTGTAATGGGGGTTTGGCGTTGGTGTTGAAATATTGAGTGCAATCAATTATTGTGAATAACTTTATGAAAATAAGATGTAAAGAAATAAAGAGTAGCCCCTGGGCACTGTGGGCATAGCCTCAAAAAAAAAAAGAAGGGGGGGGGAGAAAAGAAAGAAGGACCTCAGAAACCATTTTCTATGTAAACTAAGCTAGATTCTGACCCTCTCCCAAACAATCCAGCAAGTCAAGAATTTACCAATCCAGCAAGTCAAGAATTTACCAAACAGGCTGCATGCTCTTCATGCCCGTGTCCTCCCTGGCACACGCATTTCTCTTGCTTGTCTCTAAATCTCTGCTTGTTTTCCTCCACCCTGGAGAGCGCTGTTCTCTTGGGACACATACTTCTCCTCTTTCCCTCCCCTCCCTCACATCTAAGTAAGTTTTCGTTCAATAAAAACGATCTTGCTTCACTTTTTAAAATTACCAAGTAAGTGATAAAAAGAAAACCCCTTCTTAGGATCTTGGGAATCTATCTAGCCATCTCCCACCTCTTTTTTTTTTTGCTTTTCGGGTCACACCTGGCAATGCTCAGGGGTTACTCCTGCCTTTGCACTCAGGAATCACTCCTGGCAGTGCTCAGGGGAACATATGGGATGCTCGGAATCGAACCCGGGTTGGCCGCGTGCAAGGCAAATGCCCTACCCACTGTGCTCTCACCCCAGCCCCATCTAGCCACCCTTCCCGCTACCATCACTCCTCCTCTCCCTCAGGAGTCCTGGAACTGTCTTTATGTTTCCCTCCAGGGGTGGGATGCACGGAGGCACTGTGGGGTATGACCAAAATAAATATTTCTCCCCCATCACAAATATGTCATTTGAGGGACTCGTGAGGAGTTTGTGCGACATCAGGCTGTGCTCAGGGCCTTCTTCTGCCTGTGCTCAGAGGACCAACCACACGTGATGCCAGGGGCAAGGCAAAAACCTTGCTGGTTGTACATTCTCTCTGGCCACATTCAGCGTAAATATTTAAACAGTGCATTTCTAGAAAAATATAACTGGGGGGGGGGGGAAGGATGGAGAAATGGAGACAAGAACCTAGTCTAATTCAAATTATCTATAGTAAAATTATGTTTAAGAATGTGGAGTGATCATGAAGTTTCACCCCATAATATCCTTAGTACACAAGGGATATATATATGTTATTATTTTTATATTTAAATGAATGTATTTCAAGTGACTATGAAAACATAGTCACGGAGGGATAGCACAGCGGGTAAGGTGTTTGCCTTGCATATGGCCAACATAGCCAACCCGGGTTCGATTCCTCCACCCCTCTCCGAGAGCCCGGCAAGCTACCGAGAGTATCTAGCCCGCACGGCAAAGCCTGGCAAGCTCCCTGTGATATATTCAATGTGCCAAACACAGTAACAACAAGTCTCACAATTTGTTGTGAGATGTTACTGGTGCCTGCTCAAGCGAATTGATGAACAATGGGAGGACAGTGCTATGAAAACATAAGATTTTGCATAAACGTATTCAAATCTTGTTTCCCTCAACTGAATTGGGGAGGGGGGCATCCCAAGTAGAGCTCTGGGTGGTCCCTGGACCACCCCAAGTGACAATCACTGCGTCAAATGGATGCCAGGAAAAGTGATTCTCAGGCTACGTAGGGCTAGAGGGAAGGGGAATGTGTTAACAAGGATCAAATTTAGGGCCTTGCATAGGCTGTTACCCCTGGTTCCCTCAACTCAATTTCCCAAGCTGCCAGCACAATTTATGACAACACAATACAGACGTATCTGCAGAACAAATGAAAGGATTTGAATCCCTAAATTAATTTCAGGGTTTTTAAGGACACAGGATTCAAATTTGTTATATCTACTCAATTACAATACAGAGACTAATAGCGCTCATGTCCTTGTCAGTGACTCTTATTAGTTAAAATTTAGTCTTGACTGGAAAAGTAAAAAATAATCTTAAAAACCCAAAATTCTCACCCATTTGAAAGAATTAAGCTTATGAAGATAGTGTTCCTCCCCCCAAATATTTATGTATATTTGTACTGAGTATTTTACTGTCCTGGATGGTGATGATAGATGTCTGTAAATGTCTAAATACTGTATGTACACTTGGATGCAAAGACTAGAATGTGAGGTATAGGTGTCAGGAAAAACAACAAAAACACACCCCTGCCCTTTTTTCATTCTGTTTTTATGCCACATCCAGCACTGCTTAGGGTTACTCCTGGATCTACAACTCAGGAATCACTCTTGGTCATGGGACCACATGGGATGTCAGAGATCAAACCCGGGTCAGCCTCATGCAACGCAAACACCATACCTGCTGTGCTATCTATCTCTCTGTTTTTTTAATAAAACATTTTCCCCCTTCTCAGAAATGAAAATGATCAGTCAGCGTTAATTCATTATCCAGGATGAGTCACGTATCAGGAACTGTTAGGAGCACTTTACGTGTAGTATGAAATAGATATGAGTATCTCATCCATTTTATAGATAAGAAAAAAAGGTCAAGAAGGTTAATAACTTGTCTGAGATCTCAAAGCTGCTGAAAGGCAGACCATGAAACTGACTACATAACCAAGCTCTTATGTGTTTTCCTATATAACTAAATCACTGTTAGACCCATTACTTGAAAAAATAACTTTGTGTAAAAAAAGATCTTTATTTTAGATAACTTTACAAAGCATTTAAATAACAATACTATTATTTGGATCAATCTTGAAAAATGCTCTTCTGTTAAATATATGCTAGCTATTCCTTCAAAATGGTGACACATACTTTAAAGAATCTAATTTATAATCATAGCTTACATATCAACGCTCTTCCCTTATCTGAAACAACAACAGAAAAATACACTAAGAAGCAGGGTTGGGGAGATAATGCAGTAGCAGAGCCCATGACTCCATGTGTGAGGCCCTAAGAATGAATTTGCAATCATCCACCCCCCCCAAAGTTAAGAATATAAAAACAAAAACTTCCAAATACAGAAGATTCCATACATGTGAGTACTTTAATAACAAGGTCACTTCAGCTGTTAACAAACAGGAGGAGACAAGGACTACATAACACAAGATATTTCCACAAGTTTTGAGTCAACACAGTCATATATAAGGGTTAAAACACATACTGTCTATGGTAACATAGGCTCTAACTACTAATTTGACTACACACATTTTCTAAAACATTACTGAAGATTGCAAACATAGATCCGTTTCAAGAAAATGTTATCCTAAAATTTTAACAAAGTCTCTTAAGAAAGTTTTCTAAAAACCTCTTATTCTCCCATACTGACTCTCAAAACTTATTTTTATCATAAATCCATTTGCAACCTTAAGCTTTACCGTACATCAAAAATTATCAAAAATATACTGATGGGTCTATGCTAATTGTGACTATATTTACATGAAGCAAATTCTTTGACCAAGTTCTTTATATACAAATCACCATTTCTTCTATGTGAAATTCATTAAAAAGTTAAAAACCACAAAAAATGTTATTAGAAACAATGCATTTTAAAATGTAACTATTTTCCATCAATGAAGAACATTTTTAAATAATTTAACTGAAAAACTACTGAACTCCCCACCAACTTCAGCTGCAACAGCATCTTCTTCCTAAATGTTTTCTGTGATTTAAGGGGGGGGAAAAAAACACTAGGTAAAATTTTATTGCAAGGAATTAAATAATTAAAAATTTGAAGAGTGTCTGCTGATCTTCTCAAGGAATTCACAGTATAATTAGCGTGGCATTAAAAACTAAATGATAGGGCCAAAGAGATAGTACGGTGGGTAAAGTACTTGCCTTGCATGTGTCCGACCTGTATTTGATCCCCAGCACCACATACAGTGCCCCATGGTGCTTAGAGAGATCCCTGGGTTCAGAGCCAGGAGTAAACCCTGAGAACCACCAGGTGTGGTTCCAAAATTAGACTTAAACTAAGTGATAATTTTTTTAGAAATATGAGCTATTGGGTTAGAGAGGTAGTACAGTAGTACAGCAATAGGGTATTTGCCTGTTGTTTATTTTGGTTTTCTTGTTCATTTATTTTGGTTTTTGGATCACACCCACCAGTTCTCAGGGTTTACTCCTGGCTCCGCCTCAGGGGACCATATGGATCCCATATGGGATCCCTTATGAGCCCCATATAGAATCAAACGTGGGTCAGCAGCTTGCAAGACAAGTGCCCTACCTTCTATATTATCGCTCTGGCCCTGACTTTTTAATCTTAAAGGTCACTGATTTTGATGACCATAAAAATGAGTGCAACACTTTGTCAGACTGATTTCTTTGTCAAAAGTTGATTTGGTATCACTGAAAATATTATACCTCATATCCTATTTGAAAATAGAAGTCGATTCTATTTTGGAAATTATCTTAATTACACATACCTCAAAGCAAGATATACAGCGCTGAAATAGTTACCTAGTTAGCTGTCTGTCGCTGGACTTTAGGACTCTGCCTGTCCTCTTCCTGACTTGGACGTTTCCCACTGCTGAGACCAGCGCATGAGGAGCTTCTTCCTACACATTTAAAAAAATGTATGTTTTGCAAGAGGTTCTTGGGACTGAGAGGGAGTACACTGGTGATGGGGGTGACATTGGAGATATGGCATGAGGAACCATTAATAGTAGCACTGTAAACCAGAGATTCTCAATTTAAAAAATTCAAAACCATCTGTGTTTTAGGCTGAAGAGATAGCTTAATGGGCTGGAGTGCAAAAATTGCATGCAGGAGACCAGGGTTTAATCTCCAGCATCATGTGCGATCCCCAGAGCACTGCTGGGACTGACTTCTAAACACAGAGCTGGGAGTAACCCCTGAGCACTGCCAAGTATAGTTCCCACCCCAACACAAACAAAAAAGATATTTCAAAAATTGAGAGCCCAGAAGAGAGCCCAAATGTATATAGAAAACTAATTCATAACAAATTAACAAGCATGGAATGGAGTAAGAAAGTCTCTTCAGTAAATAGGTATTATAAACATTGGCCAGGGACATGCAAAAGAATAAAACTAGACTATAATCTTATACCGTATATAAAAACTAATTCAAAATGCGCCGGAGACCTAGCCCAATAGGCTGGGTACATGCTGTATGATGTGCAGGATGCCAGGTTTGTTTCCCCGGTATCACAGCCCCCACCCTCACGCGCCAAGCAGAGAGGCAGGAGCAGCCACCAATTACTGCCAGGCGTGAGGGTCCAGAGAAACAGCTCAACAAACTGGGTGCATGTTTAGCATGCAAGAGGTGTGGAGTCAGTCTATGGCATTGCCCGAGCACTGCCATGAATGACCCCAAACACTGAACCATAAGTGGACCCCCAAAACCAAACCAAAAAGATTGAAGACTTCAATGTAGATGTCAACCATAAAATACTTCATGCAAAACACAGATGACAATGCCAACCAAAAGCAAGAAACAGAAAAACAAAAATGAACTGTATAATCTTAAAATTCTGCAAAACTCAGGTAAGGTTCTTGCTTTGCATGCAGCGGCCTAGGTTCGATCCCCAGCATCCTGAGTCTTGTCAGGAGTAATTCCTGAGTGTAGAGCCAGGAGTAAGCCGTGAGCATTGCCGGGTGCACTCCTCACCCACCAAAAGAAAAAAAAAAAAGGAAAAGAAAACTTAAGATACAATCCGGAAATAAAAAGACAATCTACTAAATAGAGAAAAATATTTTTAAATCACTTTTCTGACAAGGGTAAAATATTGTACCAAATGCATAAAACACAACAACAAAAAAACAGCCTAGATAGAAAAATGGACAGAGAATCCGAATCTGTATTTCTACAAAGATGGCCATTAAGTACATGAAAACATTGTGTATCATTTCTTATTAGGAAGATGTAAATCAAAATGAGGTATCACTTGACGTCAGAGTGGTTATTATCAAAAAGACAAAAAGTCAATTCCCTCAAACCATTGTCAGCACAGAAAGAAAAGCCATTGATTTCTTAAATAGGAGTGGGTTACAAATACAGAAATGAGTTAGCCCTGCCAGCCAAGACCTACATGCACCCCAAACCAACAGCCCCAGGAAGAGAAGAAAGTAGCAGTTTTGCATCATTGACTGGTGCAAATGGCAAACTCTTAGAGTCATCTGTTTCCAGGGAGAATCAATAACCAGGAACCATATACTGCTACCCACATCTGCCCCAAACTAGACCTTGACCAATACTGTCCACATAGCACTTAAAACAATGAAGTGGAAGGATTAATTTACAATGATGGATTATGACAAAAGTCAGAGAAGGACTCCAAACACAGAAGAGCCCTCTACATTCCCATGAGGAATTCAAAGCAACAAAGGTTAAGCAGCACTGAAGAATAGAGAAGAGCTTCAATGAGAAAAAGAAAAAAACTTTAACCAGAGGTCACGGAATTGAAGAGCTAATTTGGAGAATTACAACCCACAGTGATGGGAACAAGCAGCAGACTAACAAAAAGCAAGAGGGCTGAATCAATGTGCTGGGGACAAGAGGCAAGAAATCGTCCAAAGAGGAAGATAGGAAAAAAACAATTTTAAAAATGGGGGAGGGGCCAGAGAGATACTAAGCAAGTAGCAGATAGCAAGAGATACAAGTAAGCACTTTCCTGTCATGTGCCAACCCAGATTCAATCCCTGGCACCCTGTATGGCTCCAGGAGTGATCTAAGTGCAAAACGAAATAAGCCCAGTGTACCCCCCAAAACCCCGTTCACCAAAAATACTAAGTGGGGGAGGCCAGAGAGTTATCACAGTGGGTAAGGAATTTGCCTTAAACACAGCCAAACCAGATTCAGTCCTGGCACCACATATGCCCCTCACCCCCAGAGTGATCCCTGGGCAGAGTCAAGAGTACACCCAAGGTACAGTCTGGTATGGCCAAACTCCCTCTACAAAAAAAAAAGGGTTAGGTGGGTGGGGGAGAAATCAGAGACTCTGGATAGTCTCTCAGCACTACAGGGTGTGGTCCAAAAACAAGACAAAGGACTAGAAGTTCCATATGACCCAGTAATTTCCCCCACAGGTATCTATCTCAAGAACATTGAAAGAATACATAAACACCTATAAACACCTAAAAGAGTTAAAAGAAACTATGCACAGTATTATTTACAACCATCAAGATCTGGAGACAACCCAAGCGCCCAACAAGGGTGAGTGGAAAATAAAGTTGTTGCATATATATGCAATGGAATACTATTCAGCTGTGAGGAAAGTAGTCTGCTGCAACTTGGATGGAACGGAAGAATATTATGCCAAGTGAAGTCAAAAAAGAAGACAAATACTAGATTATTCTGCTCACGTATAGCATACAAGGAAACAAGGGAGGAAAACAATTCCCAATGGAAACAAATCCTGAGATGCTGCCAACGGAACAGTAAACAGAGGCTATAAAAGCAAGAGTGGGAAGGAAAGGGAGACAGAGAAAAAGGGATTGTTTGGGGACAGCGGTGAAGGATTATTGATGCTCTTAGTCGGGTTAGCATAGTACAACTTCAAGTATCAACCAATAAATAAAATGAAAACTTGTGAACCGTATTACCTCAATAAATATTCCTGGAAAAAATAAGACAAGAAAAAAAGGAAAAACAAGTGTTGAAGAGGCTGTAAAGAAAAGGTAGCTTTCATGTGTGGTTGCTCAGAATTTCCATATGGGTGCAGCCATATGCAAAATAATATAGCGATGTCTTGAAAAATTAAAAATAGAAATTTCATATGAAATTTATCCCATTTCTGGGATTATTTAAAAAAGCTTTTATATTTTTAAAATAGATAGATATGCCACTATGATCATTATTGCATTACACACGATAGCCAAATAAAAACAACCCGCCAGTGGCAGACTGGCTAAAGAAGATGTGGAACTGGCTACAAGGAGAGCTCAAAAGGCTGAGAGCAGACACTGCTGTGGGAGGCCCAGGTTTGACCTGAGCAATGTATGGTTCCCCAAGTGTCACTGAGTAACCCCAAGTGGAGAGACTTTGAGCAGCTACAAAGCCCTGCCACAGGTGAACTGCCCCCCCCCCCCAAATTGAGTGGAAAAATTAAAAAAGAAGATACGGTGCATATATGCAATAGAACACGACCCATCATTTTTTTTAAAAAAATAAAATCCTTGGGGCTGGAGAGCTAGTACAGCAGGGAGGGTGCCTACCTTGCACATGGCCAACCTGAGTTCGATCCCTGAAATTCCATGTTCTCCCGAGCACCACTTGGAGTGATTCCTGAGTGCTGAGCCAGGAATAACCCCTGGGCATCGCTGGGGTACCCCCCAAACAAAAACAGAGCAAACAAGAACAAAAATTCTTCTATTGGTTACAACATGACACAAATTTTAAGGGTATTTATTGTAAGCAAAATTATTCAGAGAAAGAAACCAATGCATCCTGACTCCACGCCAGACTGTCTTCACCGGGGCAACTTGGAGGGGGGCAGGTTGTTTCCTTCCCCACTCCAGCAGAACCCTGGCAGCTGAAAACATCCAGAGTCCAACCGCCACCATGCTCATGGCCACTCTCCACTGGCTCGGACGAGCCTCACCCATGAGGGAATTTGCAGAAAAACCCAGATATGCGGGACCTGTGACTGAAATCGCCAAGCTTCCTCAGAGAGGGACTGGGTCTCCTCCTTTCAGCTCCCAAGTTTTCCAGTAGCTTGGCAGTCACACCCACAAACTGCCCCTGGAGCCATATAATCTCATCAATGGCCAAGATCCAGAGACTCAGAAATAAAGCTCCCAGAAGAGAGAGACATAGACCTTACCCATGAGTGAATCTGCTCTATAATTGTATTCTAAACTTCAGAATTTCTGGAGCACCTGGCCACAAATGCGGCCACACAACCTCCCTTACTATGTCCCACTGATATACCAAGAGTAGCACACATTTGTCTGGGTTTAACATACATGCTTGTTATCTCTCTCTCTCTCTCTCTCTCTCTCTCTGGTTATCTCTTATACAAGGACTTAATGACTCTAGGATGAAATACAATAAAATTCTCATGGTGGTGGGATTGATATTTGGATGGTAAATGCAATGAATTATTGTGAACAACTTTCTAAAAATAAAATAAAAATAATTAAAAAAAGAAATCACTGCATCACTCATATGTGGAAAATAAAATTAAAAAAAAAATGAACACCCTCCTCCCCACCTCAGCCCCTCCACCCCCCACCTACACACACACACACACACACACACATACACATACACACCTCCTAGGGGTCAGGAGATAGTAAAGGGATTAAGCACTTGTCTGGCACACAGCAAACCTCTGCCACAGCATGGTCTCTCAGCAATGCAGGCCGTGGCCTCTAAACACAGACCCAGGTAATCTTCTAGCATGCCAGATGAGGCCTCAAAACCAAACTAAACTGAAACAAACACATACTTTGACTACGTAAGCAAAGTAGTGGTTAAGAGAAGGGAGGAATGGGCAAGGATATAGGTGAAATGGCACTGCTGGGTGTGGCACTGGTAATCTCAGAGCACAAACTGAGTCCTGGTGGAAGTGTCCCAGGTACCCTCCCCCAAGCATGCCACATGTGGCCCCTATTAAAAAACAGAAGCCCGTGTTTTCTCTGGATCATATCTCTTCCTCTCTCCTCTCACTTCTCTAAATTTCTTACAGTAAGAATTGTTTACTTTTACTAAATTTAAAAGGTAAAAAGGGGAAGGGGGTGATCGGAAATCAAATTAAAAGGCTCAATTATATGCAAAACCTGGAAACTAAATTTTTAATGGCAAATGAAATATAGTATAGACCAATGCTGATTTATAATTTTGCACACTTGAAACCTGAGGGTATCTCGCCCGCACGGCAGAGCCTGGAAAGCTACCTGTCACGTATTCATATGCTAAACACAGTAACAACAAGTCTCAAAATGGAGACGTTACTGGGCCCACTCGAGCAAAATCGATGAACAACGGGAGGACCATGACCATGACCACACCTGAAACCTAAAGGTTAATAAACGAAAAAATGTTTAAGATACAAAAGATAGGGAGAAAGCATGCTCATATGTTTCATTCTTACCTTGCTTTAATAAATGAGTTTGCTGACTGTCTCCATAAGCATAATGTAAAATACCACTCCCTTGAAAGTAACCTGATGGTATTTGAAACACAGTAAAATTACTTAAAATAAATTCCAAGTTATATGCATTAAAACTACAGATTCAGTATTTGTATTTAAGTTTGTTTATGCCTTAAAGACCAAATTCAATCTTTCATATGAATAAAAAAAATCAGACACTGAAATCAAGAAAATTAATGTAGGCTCATAGGAATGTTGACTAATCAAAGGCAAATCAATGATAACCATTTTCTTAAAAATACACTTCTTTACTGACAATTGGGACAATAAAAATCAGGCACTGGACCATAAAGGCATAACATAGGGCAACAGTGAGATAAATACAGATTTCCTTCACTTCTTATCCCTCTTTTCCACACACCTCCTTCAGTGTCCATCTGAAACTTATGTCCTCAGAGACCAAGGTATAAGGCCCTGACAGATGATAGTCAAACAACTTAAGTCACACGAAGTGGAGGAAACACAGACAATGTAAGCTGGAGCTGAACTTATACCATCAACCTTTCTCAAACAATGTTATAGCAGCTTGGGTTGTCACAGAAAAGTAGGTTTTAGAGAACCATGTTTGTCATTATGTTCAGATAAAGGAAAAACCCTGAGAGGTGTGACCTCATGGCCTGAACAGGACAATCTGTTTGTCACTGATTTTTTTAAAAAAATTGTTATATTTAGAAAAATAAGAGGTAGGGAGAAGGGAGAGAAAATACACAATGTAGGTAGTAATGCACCCACTTATTTTAATTACAATGAAATTTTATGCTCATCAATTTCTACTGTGTAAAGAAATTCAAATCAGGAACTTCTATAGCTGAAGGGATATAGCTTCACCATAAATTAATTATATTCCCTGTAGATACTTTAATTCATATTATTTTTAAGTCTCTAGTCTTTCATCCACAATATGGTTATGTCTACACTGAAAATGTTCAGTTTGGGGACTTAAGAGGTTAAAGGTCAGACAATGGCAAATTCTCCACTGAATCTCCTATTCTCTTCCTGATCTCCTATCCGAGGGCTTCCCGAAATGGTGATATTTTCAGTGTGTGGCACTGTACAACATAATTTAAAACTTCACACAACAGAGTGAACTTATTTTCATATAAAATGCAAAAATAAATAAATGGTTAAAATGCTGCTAAAATGCTAGTAAGTTAGAAAACAATAAAAATAAAATGCTGTTCTATTATTTACTTTTTATCACAATTACACACACACACATACACAGAACTAGGGCTAAGGGTATTGCCTGATGGCAGAGAGTATGTCTCACATGTAGGAGAATCCTAAGTTCAATTTCTGGCACCAAAACACAAAACACTAAGGACAAAGGACAAAGATGAGTTAGGTGCTAGGCTGAAGTTGATATAGGATTCTGTGAGGACACTGAGGAAAGAAAATGTAATTTTATTGGTAGATTCACAATGGTAGCCCTTAGGTTGTAATAAACTATATTAATTTAATTTTCTCAATTAATTCTTCTTTCGGTTCTAAGATAAATGAGATTAATCTCATAAACAAAATACAAAGCTAAAGTAGATATACACACAAAAAGAATGCAAACTGTAATTCTGCAAAAGTTCAAAATAATCAAAATTTTAGTGATACACATCAGGAGAGTGGTTTTGAAAGGTCAGTGAGATAGTGTTTGATTCCCTGCACCACTTATGGTCCCCCAAACCCTGTCAGAAGTGAACCCTGAACTCAGAGTAAGCCCCAAGGACAGGTGGGTCTAGCCCATAAACGAAACAAAAAATATATGCTTCACATTACTAGGCTCAATATAATTATTAGAAATTTCTGTAAGATGTTAAGATAGACTTTCTCTTCAAGCTTGTTCTCTCTTAAATGTCTCTCATTTGCTTGTCTGTTTCTTTGTGTGCCTATTTCCACTCTATATAAGTCTAATTCTCTCTTTTTACACATTTATGCTCTTCTAAGTAAGTTTCATTCATTTAAAAGCTACCCTGCTTCAGCAAAAGAAAAGATATGGTTATAATTTCTTTATTTTAAGAGCTACACCATAGTTACTTAGGACCCTTTCAGTCCCTGATTCATGAGTACCAATACAACTAACATCTTTTTATTTATTTATTTTTTCTTTTTGGGTCACACTCAGCAATGCTCCTAGCTCTGCACTCAGGAATTACTCCTGACGGTGCTTGGGGGACCATATGGGATGCTGGGGATTGAACTCAGGCCAGCTGCATGCAAGGCAAATGCCCTTCCTGCTGTACTATCGCTCTGGCCCCAACTAATATCTTTTGGATCAGAGAGAGAGAGAGAGAGAGAGAGAGAGAGAGAGAGAAAAGGGGTTAAAGTACTTGCCTTACAAATGACAGACCAAGGTTCAATCCCTGGCACCGCCACATATGGTCCCCAAGTACAGCCAGGAGTGACCCCTGAAGAGAGCCTGGAGGAGTCATTGAGCACCACTAGATGTGGCTCCCCACCCAAAAATAAATACAAATTTTAAAATGTTAATATAAATTACATTTTCATGAAATTTACAGTATAAAAGAGAGTGAGCACAGAGTCTTGCTTAGTCAGTTAACTTATGACTAAGTCACTCACACACACACAAATAAAGTACTCACAAATCCCCATATCCTTACATCCTCAACAAAGATTAAGAGCACTTTAATTTCAAGAGTAAAACAAACTTCAAAGGTTTGTTTTAGAAAAATAAACTCCTTTTAAAAGGATAGAAAGTTTCTGTAAAGAAAGAAACGTTTGCTTCATGTTATGCTGTCCCCAATAGTAACAAAAATATCTTTCAGTTATAGGGACCAGAGAACTAGCTCAGGATGTCTCTTGCCTTACATGCAGCTAACCCCGGTTAGTTCCCCAGTACTGTATACAGGTTCGAGCACTGCCTCAGTCTCTGAGAACAGAGCCAGGAGTAGGCCCCAAGTACAAATGTGGCACCAACCCCCTCCCATTCCCCTTAAAGAACCTTTCACCTATAAATTTCTAATGTAAAGAAACGTGTCTGTGCTGGAATAACAGTATAGTGAGCATGGCATGCCTTGAATGTGGTCAAAAATTAAATAAAATAAAAATAAAACTTTTAAACCACCAAAATGGTTTTCAACGTGGCTGTGCTACCCCACACTCTCAGTAATATGTGAAGGCTCCAGTCTCTTCATATCCTCTACAATGTTGGTCATTTTCTTTTCTATTTTTCTCTCCAACGTGAGTACAGGGTTGCCAACTCAGCCTACTACGTTTGGGTTTCTTCGAGAGTCTGCACTGAAACTCTCAATCCTAGGCAATTAGCAGTAGCTGCTGGTCAGACAAATTGGGAGTGAGGGTCATCCTGATTGTGGTTTCAGTTTGTACTTCCTTAATGCCTAAGAATAAAAAATAAAAGCATTTGCGAAGGGGAGGGGTTGGGGTGGTGGTCATCACTCCAACAGTACTCAAGGTTTACTCCTGGCCCTCCACTCAGACATCACCCCTTGGGAGGTTCAGGAGACCATATGGGGTGCCAGGAATCAAGCCCAGGTTGGTCACATACAAGGTAAGTGCCCTGCCCATTGTACTCTCTGTCTGATCCCGAAAAATATAAATAAAAGAAATATTAAAAAAAAAAACACCACCACACCATCTCTCAAGAAAACTTTCCTAGGTTCTTAGGTTATCAATGTTCTCTGCTTCTTCCCATATTTCATGTGAAAATGGCATCTTGCAGTTTATCACTTTTTCACTTTTCTCCCCCCATCTATACCACCTCACAGATTAGTCTCTTGGGAAGCTTTTAAGCCTTCTATGTCTTTTGAAAGTTTCATAACCTCTGGCTACAAAGTATGTTTCAAGCAAATATTTACGCTGTTAGAGTGCTTCCAAGATTTAAGTACGTATCATAAAATACTGCATGTTTATAAATTTGCGAAGCAAAATTATTTCAGTTTAACTTGGAATTATGATTACCTCCAAATAATGGCTACAGGTTGGAGCGCACTAGGAAAGCAGTATGTACTAAGTGGACCAAGAAAGCAACAGATGGCTGGAGCCTGCTGCATCCTATACCCTGGCTACCTGCCTGCCATCACATTGATAAAGTTCTGGGACATAAAAGGACATAAAGTTCTGTCCCTCAGACTCATGTGTAGACACACAAGGCAAACTCAACTAAAGATCTGACACAACTTGTAAATGGCACTTTAAAATAGGAAGAGTTTACTTTACACTGTACCGAGAAAAAGAACACTATTGAAGTATGTCAACATCAATGACAGCTATTAAATAATTTATTTTTGAGAAATAACAATGATCACAAACTGACTTTAATTGATCTAAGTTTTGATAATCCCATTTGCTTTGTGTTGTAACAAACAATATGAAGCAAATTTGTGCCTGCTAAGGAAGCAGGGAGGAAAGTGGAGGGAAGGTCACACTGGTGGTAGGATTGGTGTTGAAACATTCAATGCCTGAAAAACTGTATTATAAAAAAACTTGGTAAATCATGGTGCTATATTAACTTTCTTTTTTTAAAATGTAAGAGTACTGCTATTTGTTCAGTCACTGATTAAGCTGACTGAAGCAGGCATAAACACATTACGTTTTTCTTAATTTTTAAATTTTATTTTCATAAAGTTGTTCACAATAATTGTTTACATTCAGCATTTCAACATTCAGTCCCACTACCATTATTTTGAACTTTCCCACCACCACCCAAGCTTGCCCCATAGGCAGATGCTAAATAATTTATTTAGTATTGCTTGTTATGCATAGTATGAGATGTCGTGTAGCTGCAGAAGTGGCGGTGCTCCTGGAATCCTAGAGTTTTTTTTTTTTTTTTAAATATTTGGGGTCCGGAGGCATCTCTGTGGTATGCTGCTCTCTTCTGAGATTCATTTGTTAGTCTCTGAATCATGGCCATTAATGCGTTAGTGGCCTGATTTTGATCTCTTTGGGGATTTATTTATGGGACTCTGAAGCAAGGCCGATAAATGAGCTGAGAAGAGGTGATTTGTGGGTGTGACTCCCATACACCTAGCTTTTGGCCGTTTAATTTCTTGGGAAACTTGGTCCCAAGTTGTTGGGGTGTGGTCAGAGGCACAGTGGCAATTTTAGGCTATCAGGAAGCCTGAAGGCACAATCAGGCTGCTGATGCACTCATCCCGCAGGCACAGGATGACCTGTTGGGCAGCAACTGACAACTATTTTATATCAAGAGAAACACATTCCAGCAATCAAGTATTTTATTTCACCAAAAAGAGGAATGGTATCACATCGGCAGGAGAGGCTTAGTGATACTGGAGAGAGTACAAATTTTGAAGACAGTTAGACTTGGCTCTGAATTCAAGCTTGGCTATGAACTATAAAGTCTTGTTTCGAGTCCCTCGATTTCCTAGGCTTATTTTCCCAATCAGAAAATGAGAATCCTACTGCTACTTACCCAAGTTATTGTGAGAATGTGGCAAAAAAAAATCCCCTGGATTGTCAGTCAAATGTGATTGCCTTTGTTGCTCCCTAAAATAATTCTTGGGGGAGAAAGGAGGGACACAAGGACCCAAAAGAATGCAGAGTACCTCAAAATTCTAACAGGTTAAGATTTTAACAGTTTCATTTATTTTTTGCTTGGGAGCAACAGCCATGGTATTCAGGAGCAACTGCTAGCACAATGCTTGGAGGCCACTCCTGGTAGTACAGGTGGAACCATGGGATGCCAGGGATAGAACCAAGGTCTCCTGCATGCATTTCAGTCCACTGTGCTCTCTCTCTCCAGCCCCAGGTTTATATCAATTTAGAAAATCTGATTTTGGGGTTTTGTCCCTCCCTCCCTCCCTCCTCCCTTCTCTTCTCTTCTCTTCTCTTCTCTTCTCTTCTCTTCTCTTCTCTTCTCTTCTCTTCTCTTCTCTTCTCTTCTCTTCTCTTCCTTTTCTTTTTTCTTTCTCACACAAGGCATGCTCAGGGAGTGCTCCTGGCTCTGTACTCAGGAATTACTCCTGACAGTACTCAGGAGACCATACAGGATGCCAGAACTTGAACCCAGGTTGACTGTGTGAAAGGCAAATACCTACCTACTGTACTACTGCTCCAACCCGCGGGTTTGTTTTCTTAAATAATGCACTCCTCAGGTCAAGATCAGTGGCAGGGCATCAGCTTTGCGTTTATGTATGAAAGCCTCAGTGTGACTCCTGGCACTGGAAACTCAACTGTCTTGTTTTTAATAAAATTAAATAGACTCACGCTATTTTTGGTTAAGCCTTTGGACACAGACAAAATGATTCATACTTCTTATACATACCTGACTTTGACATTAATATCACATTAGTAATTTATGTGACAACAAAATGTTATATAGAAAAATGCCACAGGCTTAACAGAGAAAATTCATTGTAAAAGAACTAGAGTATCTATATACAAGATATGATGAGTCTTTCAACACGTTCAAAGGGCCATTGACTACCTTAGTTGATAGACGAGAACTGGAGAAATAGCATGGGATAAAGACACTTGCCTAGTAATCTTATGGTCTCCTGAGCACCACCTACGCATGAAGTCAGGAGTAAATCATGAGTATACCCAGGTGTGATTTTTACCTAGCCTTTCCCCCTGAAATGCCTTATAGTTTTATACCTAAAAAGGGAAAACCTAATGAAATTTCTGAAAATTATATCTGAGTTTCATTTTACTCTTAAAATTGGTCTTCAAACATGATAACCCCTCAGTATCTGTACTGCAAACCATAATCCCCAAAAGGAGACGGGGAGAGCGGAGAGAGAGGAGAATGAAGGAGAGGGAGAGGAAGTGAAGGAAGAGAGAGAGAGGGAGAGGGAGAAAGAGAAGTGCCTGCCATAGAGGCAGGCTGGGGAACGGGGGTGGGGAACGAGGGGTTGTTGGGAGAGAAACTGGGGTCACCAGTGGTGGGATGGGTGTTGGAACATCGCATGAGTGAAACCTAATCATGAGCAGCTTTGTACTTGTGTATCTCGTGGCAACTCAATTAAAAGAAAACATTTTTTTTAATTTAAAAAAAAGCTTTCTTGTTTAGTTTGCCGTATCTTTACTTTGACTCAAATTTTACTATGTGTAATGAAGCTTTCCATTTCTAAAATTTCAGTAATAGAGAAAGTGTGTTTGTGTATGCCTGTATGCACACATATACATAGCACTGTGGCACTGTAGCACCGTCCTCCCGTTGTTCATCGATTTGCTCGAGCGGGCCCAGTAACGTCTCCATTGTGAGACTTGTTGTTACTGTGTTTGGCATATTGAATACGTCACAGGTAGCTTGCCAGGCTTTGCCGTGCGGGCGAGATACTCTCGGTAGCTTGCCGGGCTATTTGAGGGGGTGGAGGAATTGAAACTGGGTCGGTCGGGTCGGCCACTTATAAGGCAAATGCCCTACTGCTGTGCTATCGCTCCAGCTCACGTATACATAAGTGTATAAAAAATTTATTACAAATTTTATTTTAGTTTTTGATTTTTGGGTGACACCTGACAGTGCTCAAGGCTTATTCCCAGTTCTATGCTCAGGAATTACTCCTGGTGGGACTCAGTGTACCATATGGGGTGCCAGGGATCGAATCCAGGTCAGCCTGTGTACAAGACAAGCACCCTTCCAACTGTACTATCTCTCCGCCCCTATCACACATTTTAAAGATATATTTTTAAGGTCATTATCAAGGTTTTTAGAACACGGTTTCTCAATTGCCATGCACATGACCTTAAAGAAATATTCTCCATTAGGATTGTTTGTAAATTAAATTGTTTTAATGTATGTAAAATAAATCAAACCCAACATGTGCTCAGCCCTTAAAGATTTTTTTTTTTAAACAGGTGAGCTAGTGCAGGGGTTCAGGAGCTTGCCTTGCAAGTGGCTAATCCCAGTTTAGTTCCCTGATCATCTCAAATGACCCCTGATCATAGGGCCAGGAGTAGCCCCTGAGCAGTGCTACTGGATATGGCCCAACCCACACCCCCAAAAGAAAGATGGAGTTTGAAATAGATACCACTGTGAAATTCAAATGAAGAGATTTCTTTTTCACTTACTTCCACTGCTGCTGCAACCTGAGGCATTTTCACCAGGAGAATACCCCATGAAGCTTCCATTCCCGTTAGGGTTAGAAGGCACTGTTGCAAGAAGACCTAAAAGGGAAAAAAAATTCCCATTAAATTATTATCAGGAGGCCAGAAAGATAGTTCAGAGGGTACGGCATTTGCATTGTACACAGTAAGCCTGGGATCTGATGCCATAGGCCTCTCCTGTACCCTGCCAGGAATAATCCCTGAGCTCAGAGCCAGGAGTAAACCCTGAGCACTGCTGGAGGGGGCTCCAAGACCAAAATAGAGCAAACAAACAAACAAAAAAAACTGACCAGGCACAAGTTCAAGGATAACAACGTAAACTGGCAAAGAAACAAATCAAAGACATTTACACACCTAATCCTCTGTATCGTGAAAGCTGCTGATAGATCTGTTTCATCCTCTCAATATTCAAACGGCTCGCCTCAGCATGGTTCACCATAGGCTTAGGATAATTAACTCCTATCAAACATTTGGCTACTTTTTGTATACCTTCTGGTGCATTCCAGGGATCGTAAATATATTTTGCAGGGAAACCTCTAAGGACAGGCAAATAACGCCTTTTGGGAGAAGAAAAATCATTAATAAAATGAACTATTAATAGATTACAATAATTCAAATCAATACCATTTAAGTGATTGTTTTTTCCTTCCCTTTATCATCGCTGTTGCCCATTATATGTGGCAAATACTTTAAACTTTGCATAATATTTATGAAAAATTATTCCTGTACTAGCTTTTTGCAAACTGAGTAATAATTATCCTTGGTTTACCTGATATAGTCACCATTGGGATCTGTTCTCCTACCAAAACCAACAGGGCAATAGCAGTGAAAAAACTGCTGGAAAAAGGAGCTACAAGACAGCCACATCCAACTTCCAGCATTTATGCTCCAATCTGCATCAAGCAATAATTCTTCAAATACCTTCAGAAGTAACAGTAAACAGTAAGTTCACACATACATGGTTCAAAGCAAACAATTGCAAGTCATTACAGATTAAAAGTCAAGGCAAAGAAAATCTAGCACAGAATTGTAAAATTAAACATTCCAAAGTTAACTTTCTTATCTACACTCTGTTCTATACCTAAGTTATTTACCTACACACCAGTCTATATTACGATCTCTTGGGTGTGATAGAAATAATCACCTTTATCAATCCTGTAAGTTCAGAGTGTTTTGAATATCCGTGAGATAGACCAGTACAAAGCTGCTCATAATTGGGTTTCAGTCATACAATGATCCAGCACCCATCCCTCCACCAGTGTACATTTCCCACCACAAATGTCCCGTTTCCCTACCACAATCCCCCAGGATCTCACTCCCCACCCTCTGCCTCCCTCTATGGGAGGCACTTTCCTTCTTGCTGTCTCTACTTTTCCTTTTGTGCAGTATGGTTTACAATACACATCATGGTGTTTGTTCAGGGCATTCAGTATTTTTATCAGGAAGGTAAGGCTTCTACTTTTTGTATACCTTCAGTATTTTTATCATGAAGGTAATAATTGTAATAATAAGTAACTTTTCAATTGGGTGGCCGCTCTGGGGTGTGGATGTGACTGCTAAGGCTTCTGGAAGTACAGGGAGGTCAGGGGAGGTAGCTTTCTGACCCCGAGAAAGCCCGGAGATTTCAGTCACAAAACCTGCATACCAATTTTTCAGCAGAGTATGTCTTGGTGAGACTGGTCCTGAAAGAGTGGTGTCAGGCGAAGGGTTTGGCGGCGATTTTAGATTGTGGGAGCAAGCAGCTGCTGGGAGCTCTGCTTGGGTGGCCTCTAGGCTGACCCAACCTCCTTTGACTTACCCCAGTCTGTTCAGCCTCCTGCTGGTCTGAGATTAACTGCAGCTTTTGATCTCTTTTAAGATTTATTATGGGTCTCTGAAGCAAGGCCAGTTTTAGAGCTTACATGGCGGCACTGGAGTTGGTTCATGGGGGTAACTACTAGTGCTTCCAGGAGTATTGGGAAGTGGGGGAAGGTAGCCTATCCCAACTCCAAGAAGCCTGGGGATTTCAGTCACAAAACCCTCATAATCAAATTTTCAGCAGTTTATATCTTGGTGAGGTCTGTCCTGAAACTGTGGAATCAGGCTGGGGGTCTGATGGCGATTTTGGATTGTGGAAGCAAGCGGCTACTGGGGGCTCTGCTGGGCGGGCTCCAGGCTGACCCCACCCCCTCTGATTTACCCCAGTCTGTTCAGCCATGTGCAGATCCGAGATAAATTGTGGCTTTTGATCTCTTTCGAGATTTATGGGTCTCTGAAAAAAGGCAAATAAATGAGCTTGTAGTTGAGCCAGAGGTGTTTTGTGGGCATGGCTCCCACATATCTAAATTTTGGCCATTTAATTTCTTGGTAAACTTGACCCCAAGTTGTTGGGGTCCAGCCAAAAGCACATATAATATTATATTATGGGAAGCCCGAAGGCACCATCAAGCTGCTGATGCAATTGCCCCACAGGTACAGGTTGACCTGTTGGTGGCACCATATCCCTGAGTCAGGCTGGTTTAATCCCTGAGATGACTTCAGGCATATCAACACAGTCAGGCTTCCACCATTTCTCATGTCTGAGTACACTCTTCTATTTTCCAAAAGTCTGCCTGCATTGTGGGACCCTGAATGTTCAACCTGTTGAAAAATTATTGTTAATAAACTGACAACTTCTAGGGTCAGAGCACAAATCCTTTTCATGCAGTAGGCCCAGGTATGATCCCCAGTACCATACTGCCAGGTGTGACCCAAAAGCCAAATAAAAAAAAAAAACTTGTAAAAATTGTTTCAGTGAAATATAGCCTTTCAGAATAATATTATATTCCATCAGTTAGAATATTTACCTTCATTCCTTCTTCCCAACTAATCCACAGGTCACCTCGTGTCAGGAAGCAAGCTACTGCATGTCTAGCTAAATGGTGAATCCATCCCTCCTGACGAAGTTGTGTCATGATGGCATCAATCCATGGGAAGCCTGTCCGGCCTTCTGCCCACTTTGCTAACGCTTCAGGATTCTTATCCCAAGGAATCTGAACACAGATGGGGTTTCCTTCCATTTTATCAAAGCGTGGATTATTTGTTGCTGCTGTATAGAAAAATTCACGCCATAATAATTGTCCATAAAGTGAAAGTGGAGGGGAACTGTTCTTCTTTACCTAAGATTACACAGCAAAGAAGGGTTATCAGGGCTGGAATGATAGTTCAGTGGTTAGGGCATCTGCTTTGCATACAGACAACCTGGGTTTGATCCCTGGCACCCCACATCATCCCCTGAGTCCCGTCAGGAGTTATCCCTGAGTGCAGAGCCAGGAATAAACCCTGAGCACTGCCAGGAGTGACCCAAAAAACCAACCAAACAAAAGAAGTGTTAACAGAAATGTTCTATTTGGTTTGTTTTCTGGGTCATACCTGGCAATGATCAGGGGCTTCTCTGAGCTCTGTGCTAGCAGTCACTCCTGGCATTCCCCAGTGACCATGAGGTAATGGGAATTGAACCCTACATGCAAAGCATGCATTCTGTTGGGTTATGTCTCTGGCCCACAAAATTTTAAATAATACTTTAAAACATAAGCTTCAGGTTTTCTTAATTTCTTCTTCTTTTTTTTTAATAATACCTTTTTGTAGAGGTCTGTTAGTTTGAAGTAAAAAAGTCGACATGACAAACAGCCAAATCGAAGATAAGGACTAAGTCCTGTAGGGCTAGCAAGCAGGGAATTTGCGTTCATTCGAGGTCTTTCAAAGTTTGCTACCCAAGCCTGAAATGAAAACACAGAGACAGAACTACAATAATTACTAATTACTTTTCATTTTAAAAGATCCGTCCTTCACGCCCTACTGAGGTCACCAGTTGCCCCCCACGAGCGGCTCTCCAGCACGGCCACGGCCCCAGAAGCACAAGGACTTAGCGCAGAAAACCAGCCCTTTGGAGCAGAAAAGTGATTGGACTATGTGTTAAACCATGCCAGCATGCCTGCCCGGAGGGAAAAGGGTGTTGCCCCCACTCGCCCTCTCCTCTCTGGAAAGAAAGATGGCGATGCACGGGAGCCCTGTGGACAGCAGGTTTGAGCTGGTGGTGGGGGCGGCAGGGACCTCATGGGAAGTGGGGCATTCCAGTCCGTCCTTCACGCCCTACCGAGGTCACCAGTTGCCCCCCACGAGCGGCTCTCCGGCACGGCCACGACTCCAGAGCACAGAAACCAATCTCTTAACTATCTAACTTTTAATAGAAATACTTCCAGGGTTAATAAGTAAAATAGCAGAAATCCAAAACCGCGCGGCCGCGATAGCATCATTTAATTCTTAAAACCCAGCTGCAGAAAGCAAATCATTTCACAACGCTTTTTCAGCATGTCTGATTTGGGGGCGGGGGGGGGGGGGGTCGTAAACTCTAAATAATAATGGTGCATCTTTTATCGAAACAATGAATCTCGTCAAAGTAGATAGAGTGTTAACTAGAACTCATCTGCCTCACAGGAATTGGGAGGGGTGGGAGGTGGGGTTCTATTGGGGTTCGTGGTAAAAAATAAGTATTGGTAAAGGGAAATGTGTTTGATATTTACATGACTGAGACCTAAACCTGAAAGCTCTGTAAGTTTTCCCATAGCGATTCAATATATAAATAAATTATAAAAAAAAAGATTACATTTCAGTTTAAAGCTGAGAATTTTTCTTTAAAGTCATATATTTCTTGAGAAATAAAATCCCAGCCACAAATGACATGTTTTAATTAAAAAACAAGAATAAAAGCAAACATTCTAGGAGAACTGGTCTTCAATAGAAAGCTTGGCACTGGGGCAGGGGTGTGTGGGGGGGGCGGTGGATAAGTTAGGGAAGGGAACACTAGGACAACTCTTCCCACTTTTACTAGGGAAAAAGTGCTTCCCACAGAAGCAGCTAGAGTGGGTGAGGGGTGGGAGGGAAACTGGGAACATTGGTGGAGGGTAGTAGGCATTGGTGAAGAGTCTGGTGTTAGAACAACATACTCCTGAAACTCAATCATAAATATCATTTTGACTCAGTAATTCACGGTGGTTTAATAAAAATTTTTTGGTTCTTGTTTTTTAATTTTTTTCTTGATAAAATTTAAAAAAATAAGTGAACATTTTTTTGTTCTAGATAGTCTCATGCAGCACATATTATATGATGTAAATTACCTCCGAGATCCCAACTCAAGATGAATAGCACCTTGAATCTAACTTTGACACTGAGGTAGTAAAGGCAAACTAGGAAAACTATCCAAGCTTCAAAAATATGGTCAATCAGAAACTGGCTTAGATGAAAAAATAGGTGATATCATAATAGCAAATGGAGAAATAATCAGAAGAGTGGAAAAGGTATTTATTTATTTAGGTTTTTGGACCAAATCCAGCTCTGCTCAGGGATTACTAATGGGTCCACACTCAGGAATCACTCCTGGCATACTTGGGACCATATGGGATGTTGGAGATCAAACCTGGGTTGGGACAGGTAAGGCAAGTGCCCTACCTGCTGTATTACCTCTCCAGCCCAGAAAAGGTATTTAAGTGCAAAGATTAATTCTCAAACAACTAATTTGTGCCATCTTAAGCACTTTTCTTGCAACTTCTTTTCAATAGTTTACTTTTGGCTTCTAAGATATTATTTTTAAAAAGCCAGTTAGAAAATCTGAATTATGACCCATATTATCATACTTTTCTCTCCAAATGTCTTTCCAAACGAGTTAGAGCTTCAGTTTCTCCCCCTGGCCACACTGCAGAGGGTAAGCCATCTGTATCAAAACCTAAACCAAAAAAAGAGATGAAGACAAAAAAAATCATTATACTTTTGGAACTAAAATAATTCTCATTTAACCACAACAATAGCACTGTAGCACTGTCCTCCCACTGTTCATTGATTTGCTCGAGCGGGCACCAGTAATGTCTCCATTGTGAGACTTGTTGTTACTGTTTTCGGCATATCAAATATGTGCAGGCAGGATACTCTTGGTAGCTTGCCGGGCTCACCTCTAAGAGGAGGATTCGAACTCGGGTCAGTCGCATGCAAGGCAAACGCCCTACCCGCTGTGCTACCACTCCATCCCAACCACAATAATATAAAGAACAAATTTCTCTGCAAGCAAGATACAAGTAGCACAGAAATAAACTGACGACCTTGTATAAGGTCTCACATATGAAGGAGTTCATTAGGTTCATTAGGATATAAGTCTTAAAGTGATAACAGATCACTTAATTATAAAAACATACATTCGCACTTCTTAGAGTTTTTTTCTGAAAATTTCCCCCGTATTGTAATCTTAATGCAAATACTTTACATATCAAAACTAGAATTAGGATTTTTCTGCTCATTCACTTGATTTTTTAAAATTTTATTTATTTTTTACTTTTTGGGTTACACCTGGCGATGCACAGGGGTTACTCCTGGCTCTGCACTCAGGAGTTACTCTTGGCGGTGCTCAGGGGACCATATGGGATGCTGGGAATCGAACCCGGGTCGGCCATGTGCAAGGCAAACGCCCTACCCGCTGTGCTATCTCTCCAGTCCCTCTGCTCATTCACTTGAGAGCTTAACATTTTCTGCCATTTATACTCACCTAGTTCTTCCAGGGAAGGGACTCCATATTTCTCATCATGATCATCAGACAGAGGAGTTGTGCACTTTTCTATCACTTCTGAAGTAATTGTTTCCACTGGTATCGCTAATGGTTCCATTTTGCTAATGAGAGTCTGGAATCTTTTATAAGTAAGAGGCGGCTGTCCACCATTGAGTTCTATGATCCTATTATAAGAGTCATTAAAATGCACTTAGTATTTGAAAGTGACAATATATTTAGACTGATTAAGTTCTAAAAAGATTTAAAATCCTAAGTGAAAAAGAATCACTTAATTCTAGAAAAGGGGAAGAAGAGAACAGAGGGGTTAAGGCACTTTCCTTGCATGAAGCCAACCCAGGTTCAAACACCAGTACCACATGGACCCCAAACACTGACAGGAGTGACCTTAGAGCACAGAGCCTGAAATAGCCCCTGAGCAACACTGGGTATTGGCCCAACCCCTCTGCCCCTCCCCTTTAAAATATAAAGGATTTTAGGAGAGGATCAGAGAGACTGCTCAAGGGAGTGCATGCCTTGCATGCAGGAGACTCAATTCTCAGAACCTCTGAGCACCAAGTCAGGAGTAGTCCCTGAGCACTGACAGTGACTACAAACACCAACATCTTTCATTCCCAAAATAAAGGATTCTAGGAGAACATTAACCAGTTATATGAGTAGGAATGCTGTTAAATGATAATCTAAAAGTAATTCTCTTTATTTCCAAGACATTTGTTACATGTCAAAAATACACAGCATGCAAGTATTAAAATCTAAGACATGGAATAAGCGTGGCTAGAGGCAGTAACAACAAAGTAATACAAGTCAGAATCCAACTCTAAAAATCTCCGATAATCATTAAAACGTAACCAAAACAATATTCTATCAAAAGCAGTAAGTCTCATTAATTAGAAATCTATATTCCTGTAGTGACAATCACTTGCTATTTTCTACTGTGTACATAACCGTTATTAAATATTAATACAGTTTTGAAACTATTCTGAATATTTATATCTTATGAACTGTCTATAATTGTAGTTATCTGTCACTTGGGTAAATAAAAGTCACAGCAGGTCTGGAGATAAAGTTCAGTGGGAAAGTGCTTGCCTTGCACGTGACAGATGGCACCTATGGCTCAGTTCCCCGCACTGGCAGGTGTTGACCCCTGAGCACAGAACCAAGAGTAAGCCCTGAGCACATACAGGTGTGTCCCTGAACCAAAAACAAGTAAATAAATATCGCAGCAGTTAAATAAAATGCTAAGGGTTTGACATCTAACCATTTATTTCCCCACAACTTCATGTACAGTATACTTCTATTTTACTTAAATCACATCGGTTATAGGCCAGAGTGATAGTACAGTGAGAAGGGAGCTTGCTGACCTGGGTTCAATCCCTAGCACCACATACAGTCCCCTGAGCTCCACCAAGAGTGATCCCTGAATACTGCTGGTTGTGGCATCAAAACCACGCAAGTTAAAACTTACATGTCTACATACTCAGGACCACTGATGGCATCACTTAAAAATGCTTAAGATGAGAAATATTTTACCCTAACAGAAAAGACATAAAGAAAACATACTTGTCCAGGTCATATAATGTATGTGAAATCCGTACAATGACTTCTACTCCAGCTTCAGTAGCCAGTTTCTTAATAGCTGCATCTCGCTCTTTTCCAAAGGGCTCAGAATCATACTCAATTGAGAGTTTAGTAATGTTCCATTCCTAATACAAGAGAAAGGGACAAAAATGTACACAATAAACAATTTTTGGTTAGAAACACAAACTGGAAAAAATGAAAAGTTTAAAACCAACATATCAAACAATCATTCGTAAGTCACTTTGCAGATAGAAAATACATAATTAATAAATTCAAAAAGGCCCGGATTCTATTCCAGGCACTACAAGACAAACTAAAAGCCATCCTAACAATTTAGTATTACTCAGTAGTATGTAAATCATTAAAACCATTTGACCAAGGAAGTCTACTTCTAAGAATTACACAAATGCAATGGCCCATGTCAGCAAAGTAACCTATGTTAGGGCCAGAGAAGTAGCTCAGTGGTAGAGCACTTGCCTTGCATCTGTGCAGCTCTGGGCTGTATGCCTGGCACATGGTGCTCAGAGCAATGAGTAGGGAGTAGCCCCTGAACACAGCAGGGTGTGTCCCCAAAGTAAACAAAAGCAATGTTTATTAATAACATCATTTGCATTAGGAAAAAATTGGTTAAAAAATACTAATAGCAAAAAGTTAAAGAAATTATAGCCTATCTGTACTGTGGAAAATCATGAAGCCATTTAAAAGACTGAGGAATAGGCAGGAGATCTGGTCAAACCCACTGCACAAGACAGGAAATGGGGACGGTACAAGTAGCATGGTCACCGAGTTTGCACTCCCTTTTAAGTGGTTCTTTCGCCAAATCCAAACAAAGAGATGAAACAATAGCAGGGAAACAAACAAAAAAAACCGAGGAAGCAATTTGAAACAATCTTCAAAATACAAAAATACTAAAATAAAGCATGTTCCCATGTTGGATTTTAAAAAAGCGTGGGGAAATGTTTATCTACATATCTATCAGTCTACCCAATAATCCATTCATTCACATATACATTCTCATTTTATGGAGGGGTCAGAGCGATAGTACAGTGGATACGCTGCTTGCTTTGCACTCAGCCGACCAGGTTCGATCCCCAGCATTCCATATGGTTCCCCAGCACTGCCAAGAGTAATTCCTGAGCGCAGAGCCAAGATTAACCCAAGAGTAACCAAGCATTGTCGGGTGGGCCCCTTTGCCAATTTTTTTTTTTTGGGTCACACCCGGCAATGCTCAGGAGTTACTCCTGGCTTTGCACTCAGGAATCACTCCTGGTGGTGCTCAGGGAATTGAACTTGGGTTGGCCACATGCAAGGCAAACGCCCTATCCACTGTGCAATAGCTCCAGTCCCCAAAATTCGTTTTTTTGTTTTTCTTTTTGGATCACACCCGGCAATGTACAGGGGTTACTCCTGGCTCTGCACTCAGGAATTACTGGCGGTGCTCAGGGGACCATATGGGATGCTGGGAATCGAACCCAGGTTGGCTGTATGCAAGGCAAATGCCCTACCCACTGTGCTATTGCTCCAGTCCCCAAAATTCTTTTTTATGGCAAGAAATATTTCTAGTAAATATGAAAGAAACTGGCAGTTGTTTATGAAACAGAAAGAAAAACTACCACTTAAGACAAAAAAAGAGCTATTTTTGTGGGTCTTTTCTTCCACCACTAATTTTTATTTTAAAAATAGCTCTATTTCTTATCCCAAATGCCTTATATATCCAAATAGTATCTCCTATAAAAATATTTCTGTATGCAATTATTTTCCAAATTACCTTGAAAAGTCTAGGAAACACATCTGCTGGCTGGCCACGAATCACAAAGAGGCGAGAGTTTAATTTTCGTAGATTAGCATCAAGGTCTTCAAGACACTGAAGCAAAAATCTAGGAGGACAAAAACATTAAAACTGTTAAAAATATATATTTAGAAGATGTAATGTATTACATGTTATTATGCCAACCCTATTATCTTATTATCTTTTACCTCTAACATATAAAAACCACTGACTCTAGAAACAACAGTTATATATTTTTGGGGGGCAGAGGATACACACCCAGTGGTGTTCAAGACTTATTACTTGCTCTTTGTTCAGGGATCACTCTTGGTGGGGATCAGGGAACCAGATGCGGTACTGGGGATAGAATCCAGATGAGCTGTGTGCCAGGTAAGCACTTTACTTGTACTATCTTTCTAGTCCTTTTAAGTTTACTTAAATTTAAGTAAAACAAAGCTCCAGTGTCTCAGAAGGATAATCAACACCAAAAGTCATTCTCAAATCTTAGCTGGACTGCTACGAGTTCTCCATATTCAACTTTTTTGGGAAAATGTTTTCTATTTGGTATAAGCAAGACAACAATAGCCAAATGGTAAAAGGAAAAACAAAAGGACTGATTAATAAATGTGAAAAAACAAGCAACCCTGGGTTAATTAATAATTGGTCCTTTATTTTTTCCCTTTCTTATTAACAAACTGAGTAAAAATTCTTACTGTTTTTCAAAAGACAGACTATGAACCAAATAAACATCGCACAGACTGACATGTACTGAACCAGTATGATCAAATGGAAAATTTTGCAACCTAAGAATTCTTTTGGCATTTGAGAAAACAAAAGAACAAAAGTTGAACTGATGTGTAGTATTTTTTTCCACATGTTATTTCCACATGTTTTTCTTCCATAGTAAGATGTTTTTCTTCCATGGATAAATGTTTACACCACTATAGTTTCACATAGAATACAAAACTGCCATGAATTTAAATGTGGGTACTTTAAAAAATGTAACACATTGCATGTGCATATTTTAAATGAAAACGGTTCATCAAGAAAATAAAGCTGAACAGAAAACAGTAATTCTGTCCTTTGTTAAAGAGTTTTTAAAAACGTACATTGTAACTTGTAAAACTCCATGCATATATAATTGGGGGGAGAGGAATGAGCCACACCCAGTGGTACTCTGGGCCTGCTCCTGGCTGGGGAACAGGAGGTGATCCTAAGGCTCTGTACTTGTCCCCCAAGCCCACTAGGAATGATCCCTGAGCACCGAGCCTGGAGTGAGCCCTGAGCATGGCTGGGTGTGACCCCTATCTCCCCATCAAAAAAACCAACTTAAAGAATACATGCTGCGCTATTAAAAATAGCTACCCTTAGTAACTGGGAGTCTGAACTGGGGCTTACGATAAATATATATATATATTCTTAAGAAACCTATTTACATAACTTTGTCTTGACCTTCAGCTTGCTGCTCTACCGTCCCAGGTGAGGCTTCCCTCCAGCAGACATCACCGGGTCTATCTGGGAACAGAGGCAGATCCTCTCCTTACAGGGTGGGCCCCAGCAGCCTCCACTCCTGATGTGCAGCATATAAGGGCCCACACTGCAGCTCCTGACTCAATAGAAACACTCAACAAACTACATACTACTCAGTTATTCTTCCAGTCATTCTGCCTGTGAGGACAGGCAGAAAAGACAGAGGGCAGCCTCCAGCTTAATCCCTCAGCATCACCCAGAGGGGTTAAGTGCAAAGACTACCCCCAGAACAACAAGGACATCAGAAAACCAATGGGGGAAACACGTAGAAGCCTACGAAGTTAAATGAATGAAATAGCGCTGTAGCAGCACTGTCCTCCCATTGTTCATTGATTTGCTCGAGTGGGCACCAGTAACGTCTCACAACAAAATGGAGCTTGCCAGGATTTGCGGACGAGATACTCTTGGTAGCTTGCTGGGCTCTCTGAGAGGTGTGGAAGAATTGAACCCAGGTCGGCCATGTCGGCCGCGTGCAAGGCAAACGCCTTACCCACTGTCCTACCACTGAAATATCATTAAGACATAAATGACACTAATAAATCCTTCAACAGTATCCCCAGTGAGATTACGATGAGGATATCGTTCAACAAGTTCATAGAAACAATAGCACAGGTAGTCAGCAAAGCACAAGGAAGTATGAGAATTGAAATAAAAAAAAAATACTAGAGGAGCCAGAACAATAGTGCAGCAGGAAAGGCATCTGCCTTGCATGCGGCCAACCAGGGTTGGATCCCCAGCATCCCATATGGTCCCCGAGTACTGCCAGCAGTGATCCCTATGTGACCCCCAAAATAAAAACAAATCCTAGAGACAGAAATGAAGAACCTGGTAGGTTATACAAAAACAAGTCAAGAGAAGCTCTCAAATGCAGAATAATAAGAATTGAGCAAAAGATTGAGGAGGGAAATGCTAGGAAACAACAGAAGGTGGAAAAGAGTCTGAAAAGAAATGAAGAGTATACTGACCCGCCATCTTGCCAATAGAAAATGGCCCAGGGTCATATCTCCAAAAGAACTTGATACCACTGAACCTTCCCAGGTTGTACTGGTCCAGGCTGAAAACTCTGGTGTTTTCTTAGAATGGGGGCAGGCAGATTTCCCTTCCTGACTGAAGGTACAGCAGCCCAGTCATAACAAAATTTCATAGTTCTGTCAACTCAGTAGGATCATAGTAAATCTAATTGGAAAGTTGCATAGAAGATCTCCAAGCTCAAAGAGCCTAAAAAATAACACAGAAGGCTCAACTAGCATTAACAGCACAGTAGATCCTCAGACAATGACTTTAGTAACATCACTGTGAGACATAACAATTATCACAAACTGACTTACTGCTCTGAGATTTGATCATTCCATTTGCTCTTGTGTTGTAACAAACAATCCAAAGTAAATTTAATAATGCCTGCAAAGGGGCAAGCTAGAGTAGTGAGTGGGAAACTGGGGACCGTGGTGGGGGGGAAATGTTGGAATATTTAATTCCTGAAACAACTGTATTATGAACACTTGGTAAATCATAGTGTTACGATTTTTTAAAAATAAAGTGGGTTACAAGGCCATCATGTCTGTCCGGAGGGGAAAGGGTGTTGCCCCATTCGCCCTCTCTTCTCTGGAAAGAAGGATGGCGGCCGCATGGGGGCCTTGTGGACAGCAGGTATGAGCCGGGGGTGTGGGGGCGACTAAAACCTCATGGGAAGGGGGGCGTTCCGGTTTGTCCTTCACGCCCTACCGAGGCCACCAGTTGCCCAGCACGAGCAGCTCTCCAGCACGGCCACAGCCCCAGAAACACAAGGATTTAATGCAGAACCCAGCAGCTTGGAGCAGAAAAGTGAACGGGCTATGCATTAATTCAGGCCATCAAGTCTGCTGGAGGGGAAAGGGTGTTGCCCCATTTGCCCTCTCCTCTCTGGAAAGAAAGATGGCGGCCACATGGGAGCCTTGTGGACAGCAGGCATGAGCCGGGGGTGTGGGGGCGACTAAAACCTCATGGGAAGGGGGGCGTTCCGGTCCGTCCTTCACGCCCTACCGAGGCCACCAGTTGCCCCCCACGAGCGGCTCTCCAGCACGGCCACAGCCCCAGAAGCACAAGGACTTAATGCAGAACCCAGCAGCTTGGAGCAGAAAAGTGAAAGGACTATGCGTTAATCCAGGCCATCATGTCTGTCCGGAGGGGAAAGGGTGTTGCCCCATTCGCCCTCTCTTCTCTGGAAAGAAGGATGGCGGCTGCATGGGAGCCTTGTGGACAGCAGGTATGAGCCAGGGGTGTGGGGGCGACTAAAACCTCATGGGAAGGGGGGCGTTCCAGTCCGTCCTTCACGCCCTACCGAGGTCACCAGTTGCCCCCCATGAGCGGCTCTCCAGCACGGCCACAGCCCCGGAAGCACAAGGACTTAATGCAGAACCCAGCAGCTTGGAGCAGAAAAGTGAAAGGACTATGCGTTAATCCAGGCCACCATGTCTGCCCGGAGGGGAAAGGGTGTTGGTCCCTTCTGCCCTCCTCCCTCTGGAAAGAAAGATGGCGGCCACATGGGAGCCTTGTGGACAGCAGGTATGAGCCGGGGGTGTGGGGGCGACTAAAACCTCATGGGAAGGGGGGCGTTCCGGTCCGTCCTTCACGCCCTACCGAGGTCACCAGTTGCCCCCCGCGAGCTGCTCTCCAGCACGGCCACGGCCCCAGAAGCACAAGGACTTAATGCAGAACCCGGCAGCTTGGAGCAGAAAAGTGAACGGACTATGCGTTAATCCAGGCCATCATGTCTGTCCGGAGGGGAAAGGGTGTTGCCCCAGTCGCCTTCTCCTCTCTGGAAAGAAAGATGGCGGCCGCATGGGAGCCTTGTGGACAGCAGGTATGAGCCGGGGGAGTGGGGGGCGACTAAAACCTCATGGGAAGGGGGGCGTTTCGGTCCGCCCTTCACGCCCTACCGAGGCCACCAGTTGCCCCCCACTAGCGGCTCTCCAGCACGGCCACGACTCCAGAGCACAGAAACCAATTTCTTAACTATCTGACTTTCAGTAGAAATACTTCCAGGGTCAATAAGTAAAATAGCAGAAATCCAAAACCAACATTTAATTCTTGAACCCAGCTGTAGAAAGCAAATCCCTTCACAATGCTTTTTCAGCATGTCTGATTGGGGGGAGGGGGGTAAACTCTAAATAATAGTGGTGAATCTTTTATTGAAACAATGAATCTAATCAAAGCAGATAGAGTGTTAACTAGAATTCATCTGCCCCACAGGGACTGGGAGGGGTGGGGGGGTGGGGTTTTATTGGGGTTCTTCATGGTAAAAAATAAGTATTGGTAAAGGGAAATGTGTTTGGTATTTGCATGACTGAGACCTAAACCTGAAAGCTTTGTAACCTTTCCCACAGTGATTCAATAAATAAATAAATTAATTAATTAATTAAAAAAATAAAGTGGGTTACAAAGTAAGAAAAAAAAAGAAGAAAAGACATGAACAACATACCAGAGAACTACAGAATGCATTCGAGAGAACAATATAAAAATCATCAAAGTCCCTGAAGAGCAATAAGGAAAATATGATGAAGAAAAATAATAGTTAAGGAAACCATCAATATGAACTTTCCA